AGCAGATTATTGCTGCGGGACATTTTGTATTCAATACAAATGTTCTAAAGTGCAAAAAATCAATTTTTATTGATATACAAAAGGGAATGTCTTTACCCACCACTGCGATATGCAACAAAACAGAAGAAACGTGGGTGCAACGACTGGAGAACTATTTGCTATTCTGCATACTGTTTCTGCACCATTACATCAGCCATGGAGATATTTGATTGTGTGCATATTATTTCTCTGCGTTTTCCTCTTATTTCAGAGAGTTTCAATATTGCTGGAGAATGCAATTGTTATCTTTTGTAATGCACATAATCAATAGGATTGTTTTGGTATCCTGTGAATATATCATATTTTCTGTGAGTAATCTTCAGTCTAACAAAACAGGTCTTTTAAAGTAGCCAAGTCTTTAACTCGGTAGCGTCCAGTCTTCGACATTGCTAACATGACTTACTGGTCAATTCAAATCAACATTAATGTTGTTATCTTACCGTGATACTATCCAATAGTTAAGACACAATGGAAATTTTAAACTTGGCACAGGAAACGCGTGCCAAAATGCTTACTAGCGCCGTGTGTAATGAGGTGACCGAGTGAACGAGGCTAAACAGATCGCAAAAGTGGGGGGGGGGGGACTACCGGACTAAACTGGAATAACCAGACCCAAAAACTGTCATTCAATTTTCCCTCTTCGTGTATTTCGCCGAACATAACTGATTAGAAATTACAGTAAAAGCAGAAACGGTTGAATGGAAATCAGTTTATATATATTCATATAACAGTATTCTATGCGTTGCGACCCATTTGTGTCCATTTCTAGGTGCCAAAAAATAGCGATTTAGCTTCTTTAAGTGCCGATTGTTGAGTTAAACAATCGGGGTTTTGATTTCGAAAAATATTTAGTTATAATATATTCACGGTTTTAAATACTATGTATATCGTAATAGTTTAACGTATAACCATACAAATTATGAAACATTACATTACCTAGGTAAAGCATCTTGTCGTTCGAATGGGACGAAAACCCGTATATACTATTGGCCGCACGCTAAGGATCCCCAGCTAAAAATCGAACTCGAAATTTCCCCCGTAGCAAAGTGCTTGGTACAGAAAAGCAATACGTTAAACCCCATTTCATTTTAAGAAACAGTACATCAAATTCTAAGTTTATGTTCATTTTTCTCGAATAATAAAACCCTGGTGCAGTATGGCTCTTTAAACAACAGGTGATTTCAAATGAATTCCCCATTCTCCCTGATGACACGGAAGTAAAACTACATTATGCAATCGAAAAATAGAAAATACCCACAAGGCATCCACATTTAATCTCTCGAATGATTTAAAATCAATCTTACCAGAAAAACTTCCACCATAGTGCAGGAAGGTAAAGAAATAACTAAACTTAATCATTGGAGTGCTTGTTCCAGCATGATCGGAATCTGGAAACAATTTCAACTGTCAGTCATCACCAACCCGAATTGCCCACGGTCATTTTAATGGGTAGTCGATAGCGTCAAGTCGTTTTACAGGTGTCAATCAAATATGAATGAACGAGAAATCATCAAAACGATGGTAAAAATTGATTAACCCATTTCTTTAATATAAGGAGAATTATGAGTGGGCTGCAACAGTAACCTTTGATGTTTGCCGCTTGGTTGCAGGTGGCTGTCAATCAAAATAAAACAGTTAAGGGATTCTGGGTTTGATCATAAACTGTAAATTTTATTGTTTTGTAATAAATTGAATAACGTGGCAGGGGAATAGTTTTCTATTTAGAGGGTACTAACATTAATAAAGATCTCTAACCTAAAATTTCGCTTTCATTTGAAGTCTACGGACAATCATGCTTCTAATATGTATCGGAGTTTCCGGAACGAGTGCGGATATGATAACCACTACATATCATTTCAAAACCAATTTGTTGAAGTCCCTACCAACCGAGATATTGGACGTTTACATATAACACACCCTTCTACACGACACCTAACAATACTTTTAACCAATTATTGAAACCACTCTAGCTCTTGTATGTTATAAGGAAAACTCAGTATTCAGTTTCCCTGGTGACTACCCAGTTTGATCTGTTTCCTGGCTGGTTCACTGACAAATGGGTCCCATGATCAATCAGTGCGTTTGTGGGTAAAGAACCTCGAGATAAACATCTAGTCCTTCGGGTGGTGTGCACGTGAAAGAACCCTTGACAGTTGGAATTCCGCGAAGAGTAGATAGGCACGTCGCGTCGTTTAGAGGGACGTATGCCCGTCTTTATTTACCCAGTTACAGCAGAACAGTGGGTGTTAAACTCTATACCATATCATTTTATATTGGCTATATTATCTGTATACAAGCCTAAAAATGTTTCAATAAATGCGAATATACACCTTTGAATTTATTCCCCTATAGACTAGAACAACCGCAAGATAACCATATATAGCTGACATGGTGGTGATGTATGAAAATATGGTTAAGTATGTCTGGATGATTGAGATGAACTTTACGATAAACACCATATCAATATTATTTAAACTTTGTAAATGTCACCAAGAGAGAGGACTATTAAACAACTGATTATATCTCAATTTACTCACTTATTTGATGGGCATGTTTTTGTAAGCGGTTTCAACATTGACAATGTTCTATCTTGGGGCAAATTTCATTTTTGTGATGAATTTTCACTTTGGCGATATGTAAATAGATAAATATGCAGATTAATTGAATGCAGTATGACGGTTAATACAGCCATAAATATAAGTCAATATAATAGCTGCAGGGTATGTTAGGAGCTCTGTGATATGTTCATGTTCGATTGCTTTTGGGTAGCTGACTTGTCTACGATAAATCGTTTTTTAGTCTGCCATTAAATGGTCGTACCTTTGAACCAGAGACCAATCAGTAGGAATTAGTAGCTTAAAGATACATTCCCGCATACAAACTGGGTGATTTAATGGTATATATGGACTAAAAACACATTCAAACTAATTAATTTGTCATAATGTTGCTTCAAATCGTTCTCAAACATTGTAATTGCGAAGGAATGCCCTGCTATAAAAATTCGATCAAACCAGGTCATGTTTACGTCACGTGACTTACCTCTGTTGGAAGTCAGAGGAGAATTCATTGCATACATAAGACGATGTTGTCTTCAATCGCTTACTATTTATTACAAATATCGAATGCTAATTAAATTCTCGGATTATCCACTACCCGCGTCTTTTTCCGTCATTTTTATCTTAGAAAGTGTTGTAGGTCTAACTCTTCATAAAGTTTATCAACTTGTACATTAAGCGCCCAATGTTCGCGTGTGACCTTTGAAATCACGCGTGCAGAAATTCCTAATCGTCGGGCTGTCGATTAGGGGAACCCTTACATTTTTGTCCTGTATACGCTCCATGAGTGTTTTTCGGGGAATCCAGTATTTTTCTAATAAGATTGGATATCTCTACTTTCCATATATATCAAAATTGCCATACTTTTATTGGAAATAACCACTGGATAAATATGTTTCTGGGAATCCATCTTTAAATGTGCAAAGGTTCACTGGTTTTCTCCCACTGTAGGTTAGATTACGTAAAGTAGGTTAGATTACATATAGTGTATACAGTAGGTTAGATTACGTAAAGTAGGTTCGATTACACAGTGCACAGTGTATATAATAGGTTAGATTACGTAAAGTAGGTTCGATTACAAATAGTGTATACAGTAGGTTAGATTACGTAAAGTAGGTTCGATTACACAGTGTATATAGTAGGTTAGATTACGTAAAGTAGGTTCGATTACATATAGTGTATACAGTAGGTTAGATTACGTAAAGTAGGTTCGATTACACAGTGTATATAGTAGGTTAGATTACGTAAAGTAGGTTCGATTACATATAGTGTATACAGTAGGTTAGATTACGTAAAGTAGTTAGATTACATGTAGTGTATACAGTAGGCTAGATTACGTAAACAGTAGGTTCGATTACACATAGTGCAAAATCAAAAAAGTATAAAACAAAAAAATGTGATCTGATATCATTAGGTTAAAGTAGCAATATTGTTATTAATTGGTGAAAGTCAACACTGCCCAACCCTTTAGAGGAGTTAATCATGCTATGTGACTAGAAACTCCCACATATCTCAACAACGCTATTGAAAACCCGAATTATCAAATTAGTTGGAAATCAAAATAACGATTGTTTCCAGTAAGAGACATTAAACAATGGACATTGTTTGAGACTATTGTAAGTATTGGAGCGTAAGTTGTTACAATTCAGCAATTAGTAAGATTAAACGCTGATTAATGACGACAAATTATTCTGGTCGACATAGATTCATTACCGCTTGAAAGACTATTCGGAATCAGGCATACAATTCTCTATGTGATTTGGTAAACGATTCATGTGGGTTTTGTAACATGTATGCCATTGATTTTGTAATCCGTCGTCTGTCTTAATTTAAATCCAAACTGACAACATCCCAATGATTAATGTGATATTTGCAATTCTTTTGATATAAAAACTTAATAAGTATGGGATGGAGATCAAGCTAGAGAAAGCCCGAGCAAAAAGACGTGACCTGTTCTCCCAATCATATATAATTTGTACTTACAGAACCCAATAAGCTTCGATATCGTCGGATCGATAGACATTAGGTGTAGTAGACGGAATTGACCAGGTAATACCAGTCTCTTATCATTAACTAGTAATCAAGGGTTGTTTCCCTTGGGGAAGTATCAACGCTTCGTTTAGTACAACTTGATTAACTTGAACACTTCCTCTCCTAAGTTAGTTAGGACAGCTATTTGCGCCTCGAATGTTTACTGCCATAACTATCTTAAGCGGTACCTTCCCCTTTTATTCCACACACGTTGCTAAATAGGGTCATTTTTATTTCATCGAAATTTCTTGTATCAAAGTAACATTTAATGTATATTTTATAATAGATTTATTGAAGAATACAATCGACCCTAACGGGTGTGTAGTCAAGACACAAACTTGGTGGATGAATAGGATATATTTTAATACGTGTAAGTGAACAATAACATGTAAATACTCCCATGTTATCATCTCCAAAGAAATAAAAGTCAATATGATATACAATCATATTCAAACTGATCCAAAGCCTTCAACATCATCTGTCTCCTCATTGAGTTAGGCGCCGAGACACTAGCCGGGGCGTCCCAGGGTCGATCCTGGGGTTGGCAGAGAAACGTCCTCTTGATTGTCCCGTTATCTAACCTCGATTCTATTCCTTTAAAAAAATAAAACAAGATTCATAATAACATTAGATAAATGAATATTTCATGTTTCACATTCCAGATAATATGTACTTTGACACGCATCAAAGATCGATGACATTTCATAAAACTACTTTGATAACGTACAACGAGTTTCTAACGTGATAATGAATTTTTAAAATTTTTTAAAATCTATGTTACAGTGTTCAGTTTGCTATTGTAATTCGATGTCATTTGATCCCAATGAGTTTTGACATTTGTTTTAGCTAGCACGAAAGATGATTTTAACAACCGGCTTTTCTTTCTGTTTTAGAATACATTTTAAGCACCGTCGGTTAATAAATAGCCACATTATGACAAGAAAGCATTTGCCTTTGCCAAATTGGTGAAAAAACCTATTTCAGCCCATCTGAAATGTCAATCTCTGAATTAATGAATTGTATGCAAAGCATCGATAGTCCTTTCCCCCATTTCTTTGTCTGACTTAGATAAGGACCTACGGGGCTCTTTATGTATGGCCCCGGCTCACTATAACCAGAAGGTAGCAATTTCGATCCCGGTGTTTGGTCTCAGAATATCCCTCAGGATTTCCCAACCTGATTTCATTGGTCATTGTGTAGAACGGAAAGGGTAGGGGGCTGCTCGGAAACGAGTCTTGTTGTTAGGAAGGGACGAAAAATGACACTGGACAGTTGTAATTTGATGCTAAAATAGAGTAATGGACAGGATTTTGCATGACGGCTACCCGTAGTCAGTACAGGTTTGTGGACCGTTGAAACCCCCATTTCATTTGTCGTCAGTGAAGGGACGGGGACAAACAAGGCAACGCGTCAAGTTGTCGAAAAATGCCATTGGACACTTCTAATTCGATGACGAAATGAGAGAAAAACCCATGATATACTGCATGGCAGCTACACCGCTTCATTAGTCCTGGTGGCACGTCGAGACCCATTTAATTTCATTTAGTTTCAGATGCCCATTCTATCTTGTGGGGTTACGGTGGCTAAATGAGTAAGACGCTGGCACGCTAACCTGGAGGTCGCAGGTTCGCTCCCGGTGTTGGCCGAGAAAGTTCTTCGGGATGTTCCCGCGTGGTTTCCCATTGTTAGTGGTGCATGATAGAGGGTCCAACAGAGTAGGCCGTAGCGCCACTGTCCGGGCAAAATTTCCTCTCATCGCACACTGTATAACGTTTGCCCGTCTTCATTAACCCAGTCGGAGCAGAACAGTAGGACGTTAAACTTAATTTCATTTCCATTCGATCTTGTACGAAAATTGAATAATATTCCTGGAATTCGCATTTGACCACGACCCCACTCATTACATAAACATCGCCTAGTCGTACATCAAACACAAAGGGGTCAATATATTCAGGTGCATCATCTCCTCAGACAAATCATTTTCTTTTCTTTGGTACTGATATAAAATGACACGTAATACAGTAGACAGCACGCCATGTTTCAGGCGTATCTGGGTATGGAAGTCCCGACTATTATCTTAACCAATTTTCACACAATATTACGCTACATTAAAACGTGCCACGGGGCTGGAATTATAAATTCTAGCAGACTAAAGATATTTGACAGCATGAATTGATTGATAATATCCTATAATGAAAGTGTGAAAACTAAGATAACGATAATGAAATGGTACGCAGTATTATATCTCATCAACGTCAGACTGGAATACAGCCCAGATAACCACTAAAATCGAAATATCATAGTGAAAAGAGCTTAGTCACAACTCTACACCTATCAATACACATCGTCAAGTGATACGAGTTCAAGAGGTCTTGTTTCGAGTTTCTAAATTAAGGGTAACATTTTTAAAAATCGTCCTTTGATGCACAGCAGAATACTTTGCATACAGAGATGTCCATATAGGATATTTGATCTAGAGTTTCACTAGAACGAGTGCATATTGTTTTTTTCAGAAAGCGGTGACGTACTATGGTTGCAAATATGAACATAAAAATTCGAAAGCTCCTTATTACTTACACGGTAAGCCACACGGCGTCTATACTCACATTAAATACACTTGATTCAACAGTGTTGGAATAGTCAATATGTTTCACAAAAAGTCTGCAAAAAGAAGGGTTTCAATTAGTCCTAGGCTTCACTTACTATTGTATGTCAAGTTTAAACTCTGCAATCTCAGGAAAAATGTATTGTTACCTCATCATACTGCAAGTCAAGTCGATACTCTACGATCTCCTAAATACCATATTCTGTTGTCTGGTACTGTATGTCAAGCCTATACTCTAATATCTCAGAAATACTGTATTGTTATTTCGTACTTCATATCAAGCTAAAAGTCTACCATTCCACAAATACTGTATTCTGTTATCTCGTCAAGTATCAACTTTACAATTTCGGAAATCTCGTATTTTGTTACTCGGGGCTTCAGTGGCCGAATAGTTTAAATCGTACGTGTTGGATCACAATGTCATCCATTGAGTCAAGTGGTTTGGTCTCGGCTCTATGACAAGGGGTGTGGTCGCCTGTCCAACTTAGTGGGTTTTCTGTGGGTCCCACGGTTTCCTTCTACTGCCAAAGACCCTTACGCGCATGCTGATTATTGAAGTAAAATTGAACCATTGATCCCAAAATGACCTAGGTTGTGCCGAGTGCACGTTATCCCCACCTTTTCTCTCTCTATTATGTTCATTGTAAATCTGTTTTTTCTCAAAAGGCATTAATATTTCTTTATACCCTTTAATTACGCGATGAGACGACAAAGGGAACCGGCGTCAATAAATTAAATTAATTTTATTTACAGTCTAGATTGAGTGGCAAAAATAGAGATTAAATGTACATTATATAAATTGTGAATTTCAGTGGGATTTCTGTAGACGGAATTATTGGTATTTGAGCGGACTTATGGTCTCAGGGGTACTAACTTTACTTAGAAAAAAATAAGGAATCAACGTATGTCACGACAGATGACTATGGAAGGGTATCGCTGCCAATATTATATTATGTAAAAAGTACAAAATGCCAATTGATCAAGATATAAACAATATAAAGAAGAATGGAAATCGCGGTGGGGCATTTCTCTAAATAGGACGCCCTGTCTTTCGATCCAGTCCGGTTTGCGCTTGTCGGGGCGACGAGCCTAACAAGGAAATTCTCTAGTCGTTTGTATGAAACAAAATCCGAGGTCCAAGCATGTACCCGTTGGCGTGTATGTAAAGGAAGATAGTTGAAATTTAATGAAGAGTGGAGCCACGGTGGCTAAGTGGGTAATACGCCGGCCCCCCCTATCCTGGAGGTCGTGTGTTCGATCCCTGCATTGGCCGAGAAAGTTCATCGGGATTTTCCGAAGAGGTTTCCCCTTGTCAGTGGTGCATGACGGAGGGCCTAGTCGTTCTGGTGCGACGCAAAACCGAGGTCCCGTGTATATACTAGCGTGCACGTAAAACATCCCTTGGCAGTTGGAATTCGATATAAAAGTAGGCCATTTTGCCGCTGCCCGGTTAAAATGTCCCCCATAGCACACTGTATGGCGTATGTCCGTCTTCATTAGCCCAGTCGGTGCAGAATAGTAGGACATAAAACCCCATTTCAGTTCATTGATAAAGGGTAGGCAGAAACGTCGCTGTTCAGGCAAGTTCCCCTCAGAAAAATAAGTACATGTACTTAGACCCCAGTAGGTTTCATTTCATTTTATATAAGACTAAAAGTAGTGAATGCGTGACTTAATAATCTCACGAGAATGTAGCTTTAATGTAAGCCGTGTTGTAAATTTCAGTCTGTGAACACCTTTAAGTATTAGACATGTTTTTGCTGTAAATGTTTTGTTGCCGTCCAATCAATCAGGAAGCTGTGAGATGAAGCAAGATTACTGATAAATGGCGACGGAATAACAACCCCTGTGCGATAATAATCGCCTCAAATCGATTTCTAACGATTAGTTTCCTGGAAATCATGATAAATGATATACTTATTTAGCAAATATATAGCCCTATCATGGGAAAACGGACGCCATTGGTTTACATTGTCAGAGTTTTCTGCAACTGATACCATCATTACACACATAACAAACATGCTCAATTACAAATAGTTGCATTTTATTTTTGACTTCTTGAATAATCGATTTATAATTTGGAATAAAAACTTTGATATCCGCTTTTCTTAAAGAGTACCCGTCCCAACCTTCTTAAAGAGTACAATGGGGTTGGGTTGCCGTTAGATCATGAAGTCTCGAGGGTTTTCTCCGGGTCCCCCGGTTTCCTCCCACAGGTAAAGATCCCTAAGAGCAAACAAATTATTGAAATAAAAGATCTTGCGGATTGTCTGCGAGTCCGCCAGTTTCCTCCATCAGCTAAAGACCCCTACGAACAAGCGAATTATTGAAATGAAATTTAACCATATGTTATTTTCGAAATGAGCTGGATTTTGTCAGGTGAAGGTTAAACCCCATACCTCACTAGCCTGGAGGTCGGATGTTCGATCCCTGCATTGGCCAAGAAAGTTCATCCCGATTTTCGGCGTGATTCCCCTTTGTAGGTGATGCAGGACGGAGGGCCTGACAAGGACAGCTGTCTAGTCGTTCGGATGGGACGAAAAACCGAGGTCACGTGTACACCGCTGTCCAGGCAAAATTTCCATCATAGCACACTGTATGGCGTATGCCCGTCTTCATTAGCCCAGATCTGAACAGAAAAGTAGGACGTTAAACCCCATTTCATTTCATACCTCCCCCTCTCTCTCTCTCTCTCTCTCTCTCTCTCTCTCTAACAACCTTCTTAAAGGGTGTCCATACCAACTTTCATATATATAGTTCCCGTACCCGCCTTCTTAAAGAGTGCCTAGAAACTTTCATAAATGGTACCGATATCAACCTTCTTAAAGAGTGTCCATTTCAAACCTCTTAAAGCAGGTGGGGGTTGGATGGCTGAATAGTTAGTACGTGTGCGCAGTATCATAAGGTCTGTCATTGAGTAAACTTGTGTGGTTTCCATTCCCCGGTTGTACGTGACAAGGAGTAGGGTCGCCTGTCCTACCTCGTGGGTTTTCTCTAGGTTCTTCCATTGCTAATGACCCCTACGCGCAAGCGAATTATTGAAATAAAATTGAACCATGTGTTAGTCCCGAAATGACCTAGATCGTGTCGCGGAGATGTTAAACCCCATTTTTCTCTCTCTCTTTCTGTCTCTTAGAGCAGGCACAATTTTTACCCCCACGTAAGCAACGTATAATGCAAGTATGGAGACTTTTGCCTAGCTAGCGTCGATTCCCTCTGTTCTTCTTTGATTTTTGAGTGTCAAGGGTTCTATTACCCCCATGGTAATAAGTATATAGACGGACCTTCATTTGTCGTCCCATCGAAACAAGAGATGTACTGGGCGGATACTTGTTACATAGGAATAAAATTAAATTTAAACATCATGGGATATCTTAAATTAAATAATCAAAAAATAACTTCCAAACCAAAACAGGTGAATAGACATAACTGTTTCTGACGTTATTAAATATATAGTTGGAAATAAATAAATTTGGCGAATTGCCCATAAATGGTATTATCGTGTGTTCAACAAAGGTCAATCATACAATGCCGTATACACAGCATTCATCACTATTCACCCTCGTGTAAGTCCTATCATACACGATACGTCGATTAACTTGTTAGAAAAGGTAAATGAAAAGGTTTTCTTTAATTTCTGCACCGACAGGGCTAATGAAGAGAGGCATACGCTGCTATGCAGTGTTCTCCGAGGGGCATTTCTGCCTACTCCCTCTTACCCTTCGATTACAAGGGTTCGTCTATATGTGAACACCGAGGTGAATACGAGACCTCGATAATTTCCTTCACATTCAAACAACTATGCACTTTCTTTGCCAGGCCCAGCCCCCACCCCGCCCTGCACAACTGAAATAAATACATGATGTTTGTTCTGGTTTTACCTTTTACTAAATGGCGACAATTCGTCTGTTGTACGGTTTAGTAAATAGTGACATTTCTTCTGTTATACCGTTTATTAAATGGTGACAATTCTTCTGTTGTACGGTTGTATTAAATAGCGACATTTCTTCTGTTATACCGTTTATTAAATAGATGTCACATACCGTTTATTAAATAGTGACATCTCTTCTGTTTTACCGTTTATGTTAATAGCGACATTTCTATCGTTTTACCCCCTTGATAATGTGACTAATGTGGTTTAATGGATGACAATTCGTAGTCATTTTGATATTATTTAGAGATGATAAAAACAAAAGAAACAACGAAAAAATAATCACACAAGCCAGTTAAACATGCAAAAATAGCATCATGCCAAGTCAAATAACCTTCAGTTATAAACGGGATTGTTATCGCAAAAATGTAACAAAAAGCAGCTTAAGAATTAGCGAACGGTTGATGGATTCGAATTCTATTAGTGGTATGAATGCCAGAACACCGAGCTGTCTGTTAAGTCTACAATGGTGTGAATAGACTGATAGGGTAATTAGTAAAGATTGTCTTGTGGTAAAAATATAATACAAGTCTAATATCCCCCCATGGTGAAGCTGTTGAAATAAATTGGACTCCCAGAGCAGCGTAAGGCTAATCCCGGGGTGGCATCCGTCAAAGAGCTGTACCGACATCCTTCATTAAGGCAGCTTTACTATCTGACATCCACAAATCAATGAAGAATAAGTGGAATTAACACAGAAAGACATGAACGATTTAACTTTAGACTCAAGGTTTTTCAAATATATATCTTGGATTTAGACTAAAAACCAGTTAGGGTTAGCAGGTCTTGACAGATTGTTATCGCTGCGTGTCTGGAATAGTAGAATCAATTCAGTTTAACTGTTATTTCAACAGTTCTATGGTTGTGTTGGATCTTTGTTTAACATGTCATTAAGAACACTAAATAGACATTGTCCAAGTTAATAGCACCCAAAACGCCCTAATTGCATTTATTCATGGACATGTTTTAGTTTCCACAATCCATATAGCTTTCCACTTTTTGAGTGGTCTAATGCAGGTACATACGGTCGTCAAGTCTGTCATAAAGTCTAGTGGCATATTTCGATCCAGGGTCGGTACGTCACAACGAGTAGGGTCGCCCGTCTAGCCTCGTGGGTTTCGGCAAGTCCTACATATTTGTGAATTCCAGTTAATTCGAAGATCTCACATCTAATAAGAAGACAGTGTCGTCAGTCATAATAAGAATTTATGCATATCCGTCGCCGTGTACGACAATCATCATGTATTTTATATTTGGGTTTGGTTGCATGTAAATAGGGTTATCATCTAAGCTTGAGAAATGTCAAAATTGCAGCAGACATTTTTAATGAAAGAATAACA